GCCAGAGTGCGCCTGCGAGCGAATCCTCAATGAATGGGGGTAAAAGGAGCTAAACGGCTAAAAACGAAAAGTTAAATTAGTTTCTAATCACTTGCCCTGAACTTTCCATTAATTTTAGGAAGTAAAAGCATGTATTTCACTAATAAAGCAAAGAAAACATATCTATATGTTTCCTTTTTTCTATAGCAAACGGGTTTTGGGCAGTACAACGCAAGGATTACTAGTACTGAGTGCTGATTGGTTGCCGAACGGAGCAGCTCATTGGCTGTTCGCACTCACTGACCTCATGGATGTATATGAGGTGCCATTTTAAACTAATATAACTGGAGTTCACAAGCGTTTAAAAATATAACCATGGTGTTTAAATGTTTTATGCTGTTCTGTGTTCAGGATATAAATGTATTCTTCATCTCAAAAATGTTTAAGCATTCATAAACTATGATTTTACTCAAATACTTCATATTAACCCATTCATTTTGGACTCGCTAGGGAGCGAGAGTAGTAATTCTCCTCTCTACAAGTTCACTGATATGTTTTCATTATTTGTTAGCTGCATTAGCCTCGTAGCTGCAGTGCAAAACTAAAGAGGTAAACTTCAGAGACCAAACATGCCTCAGCTTGTTAAGTGTACATTTTGAGGTTATGGGAGAATTTTGTAAGTGTGATTTTTCATTGTCACTTTTGGTTCTGCTCTGCTTAGAACATAAATTGCGTCCACACAAAGGAGTCAGCTGAAATTCTTCCAGTTCAGACGCTGTGGTGTGTAACCTCCTCATCAGGCCAGCGCTTCTCTCTGTAGTGCCTCGTCATGTGTGTGAGTGTGTTGTGCAACATGAAATCCACACAGCAGGAGGCTTCTTCAAGCCGGGTGGAAAAGATCCTTCAACAAACAGAAATGTAATAAAATCATCCAGAAGAGAAAAAACAATAAAACTACCAGGGAAGCTCACTTCAAAGCCAAAACTAAACTCTTCACAAAATCATAACCAATTACTGAATTAATATGAAACCGTAATATTGCAGAACACTTAATTCCTTCACCAAAGTCAGTACATCTTTTATGAGGTTTTGGCTGAGGACTAGTCAGGAGAGAACAGAAGATGAGAGAGACAGAGAGCAGGAAAAAGGAGGAGTAAAACTGAGATCTATGATGGCTTTTAGATACTCTTTAACTGAAAACAACTGTACTTACGCTGAGCCCTATGATGCTAAACTTGACAATCAAAATGGATCATCATGCAAAGTTTGATATACCCAAGATATACACTACCAGTCAAAAGTTTTAATTAAATACTTACTCATAGGGGAGATCTTCTGTCTTTTTTTTTTTACTATTCTCCACATTTTAGAATAATAATTAAAACATCAAAACCATGAAATAATCCTTCTGCAAATATAGTACAGAAAACGTGGAGAGGCCTCTTTCAGTTATTATGCTTTTAAACTGTGGAACACAATTCTACTCTCTATTAGACAAATGAGCTCAGTGCACACTTTTAATAAACATTTAAAAACATAACTTAACATTTAATTATAACTTTCTGTATCTTGGTATTTAAATATATATATGATTTTAAATATGTGCTCATAAATTCTTGTATTACTGTTAAGCATTGCTGCCACCGGCATGAAAAGTGCTACGTAAATAAAGATTATTATTATTATTATTATTATTATTAAAGGAATTGAATTCTCTCAGAAATGTTGGCATTCCAACAAGTTAATAGACTCCAGCCCTCCTTTGTCACAACATAACTGATTCATTAACCCCTTAGTCTTATTTTATACTAAGGCTTATTATTCAGTAACTGCTGTGACTTCAGTGCAAGCTGGCTGAGCTATTCTTAGATTATAGAAGTATGTAATAAAGCCCTAACCCTAACCCTATTTCGCAAATGAAATCAGACAATGGCTGTTAAGCTACACACCTGAAAATGCTCATATCCATACAACAATAATTACATTTAAAACAAATAGAGCTGTAGTAAAGCTGCCTGTAAGAGGATGCATGTTTATTTTCCCCTTACGCACAGTGAGGAGGATGCTTAGAGATCACAGCTTGAGGTTTGTTTGAAGATGGTAGCATTTGGTGGTCCCCAAGTCTCCAAAAAATTAGATTCCACCTTCACCTCTAACAAACTGGAAGGCATTCCAAAAAGAAGAAAGCATTTTCTTACAACTAAACATTTGAAGTTTGCTAGATGACATGGGACCACATTCTGTGGTCAAAAAATGTTTTTTTAAGGTTTTTTGGCAACAAACACTCAAGGTACGTTTAGTGTAAAAGGAAGGATGGCTATATAGAAAAGAACCTCAACCTAACTGTTAAGTATGGTGGAGCATCTGTGATGTTTTGTGCTTGTTTTTTCTCCATAGGCCTTGTTAGACCACATAGCATCATGGACATCATAATATTTTAAATGAAAAACTGGCTGCCTCTGCCAAAAAATGAAAACTGAGTCTTGGTTGGATCTTCCAGCAGGGCACTGATCCAAAACATGCATCCAAATCTACACATCTAAATGGTTCATTGACCACAGAATCAAGTTTTTGACATCAGCACTGGCCACTCCAGTCCCCTATCCTAAACAACATTAAAAACATGCAGAGTGGGCTGGAGAAGAGTCCAAAAGAGAGGGCCTGGGACCCTGTGGAGGGCCTGGGGAGATTGTGTATTGAGGAGTATTATCATATGTTACTTGTTGCTCTCCTCATCTCATCATGTATTATTGGGAAAGACTCATTGCTGTTATGCTAGCAAAGAGAGGTTGCACAAAATACTAACTGCAGGGGTGAGAAATGACTGACATCCTTAAAAAAATAGGGTCTTTGGTTTCTTAGACTACATTTACTTATATAGTAAATGTACTTATCATTTCAGTGTGATATTGAGCTAAATAACCACAAAGACAATAACCAAGGGTGCCAATAATTTGTGAGCTCAGAAACAACTCACAATGGAACTCAAAATGCCTTTAAAGTTATCATAAATTTAATATGTATACGGTTTTGACATGTACTATATGTAAAGCTCTACTAGTCCTCTTTAAATTCTACCCCATTAAATGCTGGCTTGTTAATCTTAAGACTTATTATTCATGCATTATCTGTTAACTACTAATATTAATAATGAATTATATATGTATTGCTTTTCAATAACCCAGACATTTACTATAGTTAACTATGAAACTAATGTGTAAGTGATGTAGTTATGACAGTAATGAATGCAGGCCCTTCGCAGTTTATTAATCCTGGTCATAGTAAGTTTGTATTTGAGAGCTCAGGGCATGGTAGAGTTAATGTTCCTGAATCGTCCTTTCTGATGAATATGATTACCATAATCATGGAGGCACTTCTGAACGAACTGATAATCAAATCCTCCACAGTGTTTGGGGATTATAGTGGCGTTTGTGGGAGGGAATCACTTCAGGTGATAAAAGAACAGGTTAAAGGAAGATACTTATCTTCAAATACGCTGGCGATACTCAGCAGGATGCAATTATGTTTTGCGTCATGAAAACAAGCCACAAGCCACTTAAATAAAGGTTTGACCCCATATTAGAATACACACATGCACATGCAACAAGCAAGTCCACCCTCACACACGTACACATCCTATCAGCTCTAGTTTACTGCCATCTGCTGGTCCTTCTACATAGTTCACGTTGTCAGCTATAATTTTGTGGTATCAGTGTCTGGGTTCATGGTTCTAAGCTGTGGTAAAAACACATAGCCCTACCCACACATACTGTTGTCTGATTTTTTTATCTTTTTGTCAAAGTGAACTTTGGAGAAGGTTCAAATAGGGAGGAACTAGAAAGATAGTTCAGGTACATGGACAGATATTGAGATAGAGAGGGAGAGAGAGAGACAGAGAGAGGGAGAGAGAGAGAGAGGTGTATAGTAGTGAAACAGAACAGAGAAAAACTACAGTAACACATTACAGTAGGGACTTCATAACACATGCATAAGGACCGAATAATATCTTTTAAAAAGCAATACTTGGGAATTTCTGAAAAGCTTTTGTCACTATTGGTAAGATGATGTAAGACGGTTTATTATGACATTGTGTTGACACAAGTTTCCTCAGTCCATACACTCTCAGAAAAAAAGGTGCTCAACTGTCACTGGGGTGGTACCCTCAAGGCTACATCTCAGTACCTTTAGTCAGGGAACATATCTGTACCATAATCCATTGAAATTATATTTTCTAAGGTGTATTGACGCCACACCCCCGTCTTGCCTCCAGATTTTTATTGTATTGTTTATTGTATTTTATTTACAGTGAACCTGACCACACGTCTTCCGAGTTTATATTTGTAACAGTGAAGATAGTACAATAATGGTAAATCTGGAAAAAAAATCTTTGGGGACAGTTTTGCCTTTCAACACCCTACATGTAACCCTCCACCATTGATAGATATTAACACGTTTTGGCCCAAACTTTCCAAAAAATCATGAAACAACGTCTCAGATATCAGGCAGGGTATTCATATCACTTCATGCGATAACTTTGTGTGAAGCAGCTTTTAGAGACATTAAATATTTTAGATGTCTGGTTTCTATCACCACCACTGTTACAGAGCATTTTACAGAAATTTTAAAAAGTTTGGTGGAATTTCCCTTTAAGATAGCATTTTTTTTTGTTCAGTGTTGTGGGACAGAGATCTTCCCTTGTCTTGCTCTATGTCACACCTCCATGAGTTTATGATTGTGCTTTCACAATTACGTCTTACGCATGTTCCAGTAAATCATTACTGCACTGGTGTATTTCACACTTGCAACATCTAATTACAAATGACTATATTATAAAATTGGAGATATGTGTAAAGACATTTCAGCTGGATGCACAAAACAATCCCATTATGAAGATCATTTTTGGCTCTGTGAAGGTGAGGACTCTGCCATGTGTTGAAATGCTTTGAGTCAGTGTTGAGTTTCCTTTTTTTTCTCCCTCACATTGGCTTATACTGTGGGAGGGGTTGTGGGGTGTGGGTGAGAAGGTAAGAGCATAGGTGTGGTTCGCAGCAGTGTGTGTGTGTGTGTGTGTGTGTGTGTGTTTGTGCTCAGGGTTATAACATGCTGTAACAGGACTGCCTCTCCCACTATGAGTTTTTTTACTTCTCCGGGCTACAGTTTACAGAGCCAAACGCTGCTCTTAGTCCTAATGTTGTAGGAATAAGACCCGTGTTGTTCATTTGACGCTTTTTTTTTGCTACAAAAACTCCTAAAAATGCTGGACACATCACGCATTCTGCAGAAAGGTCCTGAGTACCTGAGGAAGCAGATGGAGCGGGAGCGAGAGGCCACAGGCCGCAGCGCCGCCGAGCGGTTAGCTGCGACCAAACCTGAGTACATTCGGAACCAGCGGCTGTTAACCTCAGAGACTGTTACCAACCAAGGATCCCCTGACGGGAGCCAACAGGCTCCCAACAGCCCGCCTAATGTTACCGGAGAAGACTCACCACAAGAGGTGAATGTTGTGAAGAGAAACAGCAGCAAGAAACGGCCTGACTCGCTTTTACTGTACCGACACAAGGGGGAGCTCCAGAGAGGCTCGCAGGGTGGCAACGGTAAGAAACTGACCAAACGGCCGTTGCTTGCCTCACTTGAAGACAAAATGAGTCGGCAAGAGTTTGAAGAGTCTGACTCTGAGGCTGATAATGGCCAAATGCTAACCAAGGAGGCTAATGGCAGCGAGCATGATCACCAGAACGTTGCAAGGAAACTAACAGCAGCAGCTACAAGCAACAAGGAGGACGTTGCTAGGAAACCAACAACAGAGGTTACAACCAACAGAGAGGACGTTGCTAGGAAACCAACAACAGCGGTCACAAACAACAGAGAGGACATTGCTAGGAAACCCACTGCAACAGTTACAAGCAACAGAGAGGACGTTGCTAGGAAACCAACAGCAACCGTTACAAGCAACAGAGAGACCGTTGCTAGGAAACCAACAACAGTTGCTGTTTGGAAACCAAGAACAGTGAATACAAGCGATCGAGAGGATAGCAAACCAGCTACAGTGGTGAGAAGCGAACGCTCCAGCCGCAGAAACAGGGTGTCGCGCTCGCACTCCGACATCAGCTCACGCTACTCTAGAAACTTTGCCGACTTTGACGCTTTTTTCACATACTGCGGGCTCGACGATGACATCATCGAGTTGATGGGGCGGGACAATTTCTGCTCAGGCTCAGAGGGAATGGAGGAGGAGTTTATCAGCTCCGGAAAGGTCAGGAGTGTGAGTGTGGTCTCCTCGGACGACGGCTTTTCGCAGTCCAGCAGTAACCGTAGTGATGGGCTTCAAGAGGACGAGCTACCGGACAAGAAAACTGGACAAGGCCCATCGGTCATAGAGCGCAATGCTCGGGTTATTAAGTGGCTGTACAGCTGCAGAAATGCTACTCAGTCAGGGAAAACGCTGCGAGATCTGCATTAATTACTCTTGCTAAAAATATGCATTATAGCTTTTTATGTTTGGTCTATGCTAGAATGTCCATGTTTACTTGCCTGTGTCTCAAATCAACCTCTAGTTCCTAGCTAGTGAGTTAGTATATACCTGTTTATAAGGTATTCTGAATAACTTATAAGTTACTTTAGATTTACTGGAGCATTTTTTAATTCTTGCAGAAAATCTGTCATGTCACATGTTAAAAAAACGCTTAACTAAAATAGGAGCTAACTGCTAATTTGTGGAACGCCACCATATAGGGAAGGAAAGAGGTCAGATCGCCCTCTACTGTTTGCATTCATTTCTTTATGACACGATTAACATTCTGTAGAAAGTGTCTTCTCTTTATACCATCAATGTCATTCAATATAAAGTACCGTCTATTTATGACATCATTGCCAAACTATAGAAAGTATTATTCTCGATGACATCATTACCATTCTATAGAAAATGTCTTCTCTCTACAACATCATTGCCATTCAGCAGAAGGTATCTTCTCTCTGTGGCGTAATTACCATTCTATAGAAATTGTTTTCTTTCTATGACATCATCACCATTCTATAGACAGCGTCTCCTCTCTGTGGTATCATTTATGTTCTACAGAAACTTTTTTCTCTCCAAAAATGTCCATATAGTGAAACGAAACACAGTTCAAAATCCTGTGAATGCAACCAGCAGATGGCAGAGATCTGCACATTTCCTCCCCATAGCTGAGACACGGCTAACAAAAGGCGGACAACATATCATACATTTCAACATTTAAAACCACTAAAGTGTAGAATGTACTAAACATGTGTTTTTGTTAACATACATTTCTGTACATATGTTTGAGTTGGTGATTTCGCCATCTTGAATTAATTGTTGTCAGTTGGTTTGATTTGCAATGTGTTCTGGGACACACTAGGCCAATTATGGCACATGGTTCGTCCACTGTATTTTGAGATACACTGGGGAATGTCTTCAATGGATGAATGTTTCAGTGTCCATACGATAATACATACTCTAACACATTAAAATAGTTTACAGTAGTTTAGAACAGTTACAAGGGGTCGATTTGAGACACACGCAGAGAATGTTACTCTTTTTTGGTATGTTTTTTCAGGCCTGCTCTGATGTACCTCACATCAGGTGTTTCAACTCCTGGGTACTCACTGCACTACACAGTTTCTGGTATTCTGGTGCAGGTCATTAGCTCATTTGAGAACTGACCGCTCCTAAACCCCCCCCCTTCTTGGGTACTGTTACCACTTGGTCAAGCTTTCAGACTTGTGTCTGTTGCACCCATTGCAACCCACTGTGAAAGAGAAGCTCCCAGATTAACTCACAGAACTTTTTCTGATTGGTCTAATTTTATATCTTGGATGGACATCTAATGGTACCCACTTAAATTTATTTGATTACATGTAAATATCATGTGTCTGTTCACATTAATATGATGAACCAAGTGATAAAAGTTAACATTGTACCATGTGGTTTGCTCAGTTTAAAAACTGCCCTCAGATTTGTGTTCAGGAAAGCTCAGAGAACATGTGGACCAAAATATCAACACTGGGCATGGACATTAGTGGGTTAAGAGCAAATGAACGAAATGCTTTTAATTTGTAAGTCACTCTAAGATCTATCAGTACTGTAAATCTAGTGGTTTTATGCACAATGTTTCATATTTCTCAGTATTATTTTGTTTTTAAGAGCCTTTTTAAGTGCCTTCATGTGTCTAAATATGTCAAAATGAAGTCCATTTCGCATTGTTATGATAGCTGTAGCTCGGAGCTGGATAACTAACAGACTGAGGCCCACCAGACAGTAATATTTGTCTGGCACTTGTGGAATCCAGGGGGTCATACCAGCCTACCTCTGGGCTATGGAAAAATATGGCCCAGAACAATCAGTGTTTGCTTTCTTATTGCATAATAACTGACAAGGAAGAGACAGACTAGCCCATATTTGTTCACACCCACGTGGTTGTACATAGTCAGCACAACGGTCACTAGGCTTAGTTGGTATGCACTGATAAAACTGACAATTCACTGTTTGATTTGGTAAATGCAAACTTGTCAAATAACTTGCTGCGGTTGGTCTTGACTGAACTTTATGTGGAATAAAACACTCATTGAGGTTCATAAAGTGGCAAAAATAAATGCTGTGGTTAAATGTATTAAATGTACAGATGATATTTTACCATAAAAAAAACTTCTGGTGCAAAAGGTTGTATTTATCATTTCTGTAAAAAAAAAAAACCTGACTGTTGAAAAGAAGATCCATGTATATTGGAGTATATGTCATTTAAAGGGCCTGTATAATGGAAAACTGCATTTGCCTCATATTTAAAAAAAAAAAAGTTTTATAGGTTATGTAATGTTTCAAAATGTACTATTTAGTCCTTACAGTCCATTCATGGAAACTTGTGCATTGTTTTTGGGATGTCATACATACACCTATTGGGCCTACATCAGCTTAGCTCCGGCCGTTCTTCAAACTTTTCAAATGAGGACGGCCACTCAGTAACAAGAACAGCCTGTTTAGTTCTAAGAGAGAAGGACAGGTTGGAGAATGGTCATGTCACAATGAGTTATGACCGTTTATGGAACCTAGAAATATACACTTGTCATAAACAGACCTTAAATATGAAAATAGGAGTATGAGCCCTTTAAAAGCACACTGACAATACAAAATGAGCTTTAGGAACATCTAACCCTTGGTCCTAATCTTTCACAAATCACATGATCAATCATACGCCAGGACACATCTGACCATATATAGAGATAATTTGTGAATCACCACTTTTACTGTGGAAGGTCAGGCTTGCTTGTCATTTCCCTGGCAAAACTTCCACTAGGTAAACCACATGAACCTATTAGTAAAAACAGGTATTTTTAGAGATTTTCCATACATTGTGAAGAATCTGTTTTCACGATTGATATCACAATGCACTTTTCAGATGGTGTGGACCTTACCATAGTTACTGAACCTTTAACACAAATATAATGGAATATATATGGGAGTAAATTTTAATTATGCACTAATAACACTTCTATTATGTAGGCCTGTATACCCATAGCCAGATGTATTTCGTATTTTGTATATTAATGTATTTCACACTGTTCCTTGCTGTTACTAGTTTTGTCCATGTAATTCTCCTGATAATATGTTTCCTAAAAACTTTAATTATTGAAATATATATAAAAATAAATATAAAAATCTCCACATTATTTTGTCTCTCATTGTCTGCTTCAGCAGTCATACATGCATTCATAATCCCCCTGGCCCTTTCACGGCTGAAGCCAACAATTTGCCATACCCCAATAACAAGATCTCTCAAATTTGACTTTAAAGTGAGTAGCTATGTGATTTTCAGTTAATGATATGTATATAACTTGCCACGAAATGCATGCACCAGTTCAGTACAACACCAAAACTAAGCTTATCACTCGTGAACATGTGCACTACTTAGTCATCCCTCAATAGAGTTCACTACCATTCAGATTAATAACTGATCATCACAGTGATTTATCAGTCTACTCAGTCTTCAGTGTTTGTAAGGAGACATTTTTTGACTTGTTTATTTTAGAGTAAGTCTTAACAAGCTGCATTGTGATTTTAAATATTTAATAAACAAGCATTCGTGGCGTTTCTGTAAAAGGAGGGAGGATAAGTATTCTAAAAGTATTTTCCTAAAAACTATTCTGAATAAGTGTTCTGAAAAGCTATTCTGAATACTGCCTTTATAAAATGTATTTCAGATTCTGAAATTCACCTTGTCTGTAGTCGTAGATCACACAGCCGCCGTGTCCTAATATGGTCTGAGAGCAGCTATGTAACCTCTGACCAGGCCAACGCCACACATGCTTATGAAATAAATGTGTTATTGGCACATAATTAAACTTTAACTTCTAGCCTACTTGTAGGCAGAAAGTAGGCTAACCACAAGTCAGAGCCAGAGCAAAAGGAAGGTAGCAGCTGAAACAGGAACGCATTCACACAGCCATGCACACACACAAAGTCATGAACGCATGTGTGACTGCTGCAAAATGTTAAGTATAATTATAACAGCATAATTATTGTCTATGACTATTATTTCCTCTATGAAATATTTTTTTTTTTCTCTGATGAACAGCACACATTTAGACTTTCCTCTGCTGTTTCCTCTCTTCTCTCTCCACATCCCCACTTTCCTCCCGTGCAAAACCAAAACACGGGAACATGTGCGGCGCCCCACTCACGTGTAGGAAGAAGCCTGAGCAAAACACGCAGGATAAAACTGCCAATGATGCACAAGCGCGGCAGCCAATCAGCGACGGGATTTCGGGTAGCAACAAAATAAACACAGACACAACCGCCAATCAGAAGGAAAAGGGGGCGGGGCTACATGTCGTTGTACTGACTGTTTACTTCCGTCAATATTAAAGAAAAGCAGCAATTTGTTTTCTTCATACAACAAAGAAATCACGGTAAGCGAAGCTTGGCAAGATAAAACCTTTTGTAGGCCTATAAAACAGTACCGGCTGTCAATATTTTAAGATGTCGTCTCTGCTAAATCGTTTTGAGGCAAGATAACGTTGAGGTCTTGGGCAGCCTCTGCGTTTTGGCAAAAAGATGATGATGGCTAAGCTAGCGTTAGCGCTTTTAAGGAGGAAGATCGACAAAATGCAGCACAGTATTAAAGATCATGTGGCGGGTTTCTGTTAGCTATTGAAAAGCAAACGCCAATAAGCAATATTTACTGGAGATACCAAAAGATTTTGGTGTCGTTGCGTATAAAGTGGTGAAATAGGCAATTAAAAAACAGACAGTATCAGTTAAGTCCATTTATATGTTAGAAAGCAGGTCTGTCACACGAAGATCTTATTCGCCGGCTTCTAGTTCGAATGTTCCCATTCCACCTTAAATGGTATAGCACTTCCTTTCTGGCGCCGTATACCCTGTATAGCATTAGCCCCAGGCGCCAGAATGTAACTGCTGCACCATTTAAGGTGGAACGGGGAAATTCGAACTGGAAGCCGGAGAGCGAATAAGGAGCCAACTTCAGCCTCGTCTTTGTCACTCGGTGTTTTTTTCTTTTGTTGGCTCTGCAGAAGATGCCATTCTTGGGCCAAGACTGGAGATCTCCTGGTTGGAGTTGGATCAAGACCGAGGACGGATGGAAACCCTTCGAATTTTTCTGCCACGAGTTGAGGGATAACAACAATGAACTGGAGCTGGAAGAGTAAGGATTTTCA